GTTCCCTTGATATCTCTAATTTTCTTGAAGAGATCTCTAGTCTTTCCCATTTTATTGTTTTCCTTTATGTCTTTGCATTGATCACTGAGGAAGGCTTTATCTCTCCTTGCTATTCTTTGGAACTCTGCATTCAAATGGATATATCTTTCCATTTCTCCTTCGCCTGTCCCTTCTCTTCTTTTCACAGCTGTTTGTAAAGCCTCCTCAGACAACCATTTTGCCTTTTTGCATTTCTTTTTCTTGGGGGTGGTCTTGATCACTGCCTCCTGTACAATGTCACAAACCTCTGTCCCTAGTTCTTCAGGCCCTCTGTCTATCAGATCTAATCCCTTGAATCTATTTGTCACTTCCACTGTATAGTCATAAGGGATTTGATTTAGGTCATACCTGAATGGTCTAGTGGTTTTCCCTACTTTCTTCAATTTAAGTCTGAATTTGGCAATAAGGAGTTCATGATCTGAGCCACAGTCAGTTCCCAGTCTTGTTTTTGCTGACTGTTTAGAGCTTCTCCATCTTTGGCTGCAGAGAACATAATCAATCTGATTTGGGTATTGACCATCTGGTGATGTCCATATGCAGTGTTTTCTCAGATAACTAAATAGTTATATTAAGGGAAAGCACATGTACAACAATTGCCAACCCATATGGAACCACGATGTGAATGTGATACCACTGTTTGCTATTAACTCTTTTTCAGTGAGATCTCGGTGTAACCTTAAACCAGATGTGGCTGAGGAAAGTACTCAGCCATGGGCTTCATCCTCCACTCCTGTGTTCCTATGCATTCATGTGTGATCCGTGCTGGGATTTAAGGAAATTTCCCCTTTTCCAGGAAACCCCCTGCAGACATCCCACTGCAGCTGCCTGCTGTTATCAGGGAATGACTTCTATCCCTCCCATGAGTGCTTTGGGTGGGGTTTTATCAATAGTCCCAGCCTATCACAAAAAGATAGCAACTTTCAAGCCTATTGTATTTCCTCCTCTCCCCTTCTCCATTCCTCAAAAATACCCCTCCACTTTGTGGTCACTTCCTGGTCTCATTGTGAGTTGTTCCTCCCAGCAGCAGCAGTTAGATAAAGGAGGTGACACCAGCCACCTGGGTTTGCTGTTTAACTGCTTCCTGCCCAGCACAGCAGCACCACACTGTGGACCAGCAGCGCCCACTGTCCTGCTGGTGCATGTCCTGGGAGGTACTGGCTTCACTGGAGCTCCTCTCCAGTGTTCTGCTTGTTCCAGCTGGACAGCTACAGCTGTTTGCTGGGCCTTAAGTGGGGTGGTGATTGGGTCAGATGGGAATGGACTTGGCAAGAGTGATGCATGTGCATCTCCCTGCTCCATTCCGTTGGCTCCTTTTCTGGAGAGGTCCTAATTTCCACAGAGCATCCCCAAAGTGGAAGGTCCAAGAACATATAACTGCTCAGCAGAATGGTGGAGTGTTCTAGAACAGGCAGACTGGGATGCTTTCCTGTACAATTACTGGCTCTGTGACTCAAGAGGGTGACTTCACATCTCTGAATCTCATTTTTTCCCACCAGTTTAAAAAATATAGCAGGATGATGTGATACCAGTCTGCTTAAATTATTACAGGAAATCCATGCAATGATATATGTAAAGTAACCACCATAGAGCCTGACCCAGCCTCAATCAGGGTGAACTGTTATCATCATTATCTCACCCCATACTCCTTGTTGACTCCCTGACTTTTGTTGCTCCAAGTTGGTAGCTCAGACTTGGCTTTTCAAGCCTCTTTCTCTTTGTTTCCTACTTTCAGGGAGCTCTGTGAAGAAGCCTGGTCAGCCTGTTGTTTCCAAAGCCTTGGGGTAAGTTCTGGGGTGTTCAACCCAGGGTAAGGGCTGGATTGGCTCCTGTTGCCTTGGCAGAACAGCCTGGGAAGCAAGTTTTCTCAAGCATCCCAGGTTATAACTAAAGCAGGAGCCTACTGGGGTGTGGCATGTCATTCACACAGCCCCTCCTGACCCTGTGGCCTCTGTGGATCGCTCCTTTGGTCCAGCTGCTAAATGGAAGTGGCCTATATGGCCATAGTCTGCAGGGGTCTCTAATAACCAAGACCAGAGTCAGAAGACCTAAAATAAGCAGACTTAGACGAGGCAATCAATATGTGACTTTTCTTATGGCAAGTAAACCTGTATTGGCAAGGGTAAGTAAAAATGGCTGCTGTGACAAACAAGCCCCTAAATCACAAAGGCTTAACACAAGGGAAGTTTATTTCTTATTCAAGCAAAATCAGTTCATATTTTCTCAGACAAGTGGAGAACCTTCCAACTAAATTTCAGGGACCCAGGATCCTTCTGTTTTGTGGCTCCATCATCTCTTCGGCAGAACTCTCTGCATCTAGCCAGAAGAGAATCACACAAGAGGTTTTGAACAGTCCAGCCTAAAAGTGGCACATAGTGCTTCTGCTTTCTGTTCACAGTCTGTTGGCCAAAACCTAGGCTCTGGCCAGAGCTCAGTAGAACTCAGGTGTACCTAAATTCACTGAACTTCCCAGGTGACTCAGTGGTAAAGAATCCACCTGCCATTGCAGAAGTTGCAAGACACATGGGTTCAATCCCTGGGTCAGGAAGATCCCCTGTAGTAGGAAATAGCAACCCACTACAATATTCTTGCCTGGAAAATCCCATGGACAGAGGAGCCTGGCAGGCTACAGTCCATGGGTCACAAAGAGTTTAGCGTGACTGAGTAACTGAGCGGGAGGAGGAGCACAAATTCAAGGAGCTAGTAAATGAAGACTAACCGCATGCTCAGGAGGTAGAGGAAATAGGGTTTGGTGCCACAGATATTTTCCAAGAATGTATTTGAGCCACATAATTGGGAAGGTTTCCCTTTGTTGGTTTCTGAGCCCATGTTAAGTGACTTGGGTGGGGACAGACAGAAAAGGATCTGCATTGCTATGGATTTCCTGGTGATCTTTTCCCAGGGACAGATTTGCAGTCCCTGCTGTGGAGACCCGTCCTAGCATCTGGGGAGAATGTCCACCAAAATTTGCTACCAAGCTGGGCCGAGCGGTGGTCAGAGAAGGACAGATGGGGCGGTTCTCCTGCAAGATCACTGGCCGACCCCAGCCACAGGTCACCTGGCTCAAGGTAGGGTTCTATCTGCCCTGACTCTGGGTGAGATCCCTGGGCTAGCAGGAGTCTGTTTTCCCAATCAGTCCCTGCCACTTCAATTGTAGATGGCCCTTGAGTTTCTCCTGTGTTTGGTAGCCATGCCTGTTCTTGCATATTCTCCCTGTCACTCAGCCCACAATGTCCTGTAATCCACACACTCACAGAACAGCATAAAACTTCTGAGTCAAGACAGACCTGACCGTGTCAAGAGAGTGGACTTTGAAGTCTGGGGCTGATTTCAAGCCATAGCTCCCTGATTCACAGAGCATGTGATGCTGGGCAAGACATTGGTCTTTTAGAACCCGGGTTTCCTTATCTGTGAGGCAGAGATAATGCCACCAACCTCAAAATACTGTTGGGAGGCTCCATGTGGGAGTGCTTTATAAATCACTGGGGCTAGACACTGTGAAGACAGAGGTGAGGAAACAGGGGAGAGGGGGAGGAGTGGGTGTAAACAGGGTGGTGAGGAGATCAAAGCCAGGGAGAGTAGGTTTTTCATGGGTGGAACTCCTGGATAAAAATGAGCGATGGGGTGCCTTTTCCCTGTGTCCTGATTCTCCTGTTCTGACCCTGGAACATCTATAAAAGGAAGAGGGAGGCAAAGGAGAACTAAAGTGAGGAATGTAGAATTTTCCACCTCAAACTCGGGCTCCTTTCAAACAGGTTCCATGCACCTGCTCTCAACTGGACAGAACACCATAGCGCATCCATACAGCAGTCAGGGCCCTTGGGTGGCCCTCAGGCTGCTCTCCGAGTATGATGACAGAGCCCAGAGCAGAGGGCCCTGCAGCCCGTGCCTGGTGTCTGTCCCATGTGGATTGGCAGGAGACAGGACAGAGCTGAAAGGTGAGCAATTTCTCTGACCAAGCTGCCTGTGCCGTCCACAGGGAGACATTCCCCTGCAGCCCAGTGCCCGTGTGTCTATGTCTGAGAAGAATGGGATGCAAGTCCTGGAAATCCACGAGGTCACCCAAGATGATGTGGGAGTGTACACGTGCATGGTGGTGAACGGGTCAGGGAAGGCCTCCATGTCTGCTGAGCTTTCCATCCAAGGTATGGTCCAAGCTCTCCATCCAAGGGCTGTGGGAGGGCTATTGCAGAACTGTCCCTTCCAGGGTCCCTAAAGGACCTAGAAGGAGCTGCTTGTTCACTACACATCTGTGTGTTACACGTGTCACACTTATGTACTCGGATATCCATCCCCAGGTCAGCATCTTGAATCAGAAGAATGGGTGGGTGAGTAGCAGAGACGCAGCCAAGGAGGAAGATACTTCACCTGTGTCTACACACCTGGGTTCAGTTTTTCCTTTTTGCTCAGACTCCTTTTTTATTTACAGTTCTAATTGCCTTTTGGAAGAGTGCACATTGCTAGTGTCTTCCCATCACCTCATATTTACCCAGCCTAAAATTTATCTCAGTGTCCACCCTGTCCTTCAGATCAGGTGCTCCCTCAACTTAACTCTTCCCTTCTCACAGGACTGGGCATTTCAGACCAGCTTTGGCACCTGTTTCTCCTTGCTACAGTCATCAGCCCTAATTAGCTCTTCTCTTGAAATCTGTGTATGACTTCCCATTCCATTCCCCTTGGTTCTGCCAAGTCCAGCCTGGGGAAACTGGGATGTGTGGACAGGAAGGATGACTGAGGTCACTCCATTTGAGTGGGAACCTTGAGTGGGTTGGGATTTATGGATCAGGGAGTAAAACAACCCTCACTCTCTCCCTCTTACCCTTGTCTCTTCTATGACTTTCCTCTTCTCCATCTCCTTCCTTCCTCAGAAAGTATCCCTCCTTGCTCTCTTCACATTTTTGGCCCAAGTGTTTTTACTACCCACAGAAACAAATTTATTTTACATTGCAACCCAGGATGTGTGCGTGTATGTATGTATGCTTAGTTGCTCAGTCATGTCCAACTCTTTGCGACCCCATGGACTGTAGCCTGCCAGGCTCCTCTGTCCATGGGGATTCTCCAGGCAAGAATACTGGAGTGGGTTGCCATGCCCTCCTCTGGGGATCTTCCCAGCCCAGGAATCTAACCCAAGTTTCCCACATTGCAGACAGATTCTTTACCATCTGAGCCACCAGGGAAGCCCAATATATATAAACATATACACATACAAATACATGTGCACATATATTACTGAAACCAGTTTCATGAAACAATCCTGAGTATTATATACAATACATTCTGGCATTTTCTCTTCTCTTCTACTTCATTAAGAAAAAAAAAAACCTTTTTCTGACCATAGGCTCTGACTTCACAACTCACTACTGTCTCAGGACCCTACCATTTTAGTCTCTGTCCTGTACTTTCCCCAGCACTGAATTAAAGAACTGATCCCTTCTGAAGCAATTAATGCCAGAATGATGTGTTTCCTGGGATTTGTTTGAAAATACTCCCAGAAAAAGTCCCTCAAAAACAAAACAGAGAGATATAGATAAGATTGGCAAAATGTTGATATTTCCCTAATCTGGGCTTTGGCTTTCAGTGTTTGTCATATCCTTCTTGGTACTATTGTATATTTTGTAATTTTCCATGATAAAACATTTTTTAAAAATAATGTGGTAGAAAAATATATCTAGTAATAGTATGTTTTTTCTTTGGAGAACTGAATAAAATTACACTTTTTCTGTACGTTTTAAAAAGAAGCAGGTATTTGTCAAAAATGATTCCCTTGAGGGGCTCTTTAGAGGGCCACACGCAAGTGGAACTGTGTGGGTTTGAAGTTTTGGGTAGGTAGGTGTTTATTTTTGTTTGTCCCTCAAGTGGTTTTTGTTTCCTACTTCGGGCTAGAGAACAGGAAGCTACTGTGCCCAGGGTGGGGCAGCAGACGCCGTAGGAAAGGCCCAGGGCAGCGCTGGAAACTTAAGAGTGTCTGCAGGGCTCAGAGGAGTTTATCAGACTAACCCAAGAAGTTTAGGACCAGGGAAGCTGGAAGGAGAGGGGGAGGAGGGCCACAGGTGACGCGGAAGGTGAGCGCTTAGGAAGCCAGACTCTGTCATAAATGAGAGATTCTTGTTTTATCACTTCCCGCTCCTGGCGTATACAACATTCCACTAACCGTCTTTCTACCTTCTCTCTTTTTCCAGGTTTGGACAATTCCAGTAGGTATGTGTAAGCTTTGTGACTGTCATTGGTCCATCTCGAAATGCCCTGTCAGAAAAGAGGGATTGTAATCAAGACATGCCCTAAATGTCTGAGTCATCATATAGTGGGGAGAACTGCCTGTTTGAGGGGCGTTATTTTATTTGAAACGTTTCGTTTTCTATTGTAATTTGCTGCCTAGGTTCTGGGTCAGGCTTGCCGTCAGTATTGAGACTCTCGAAGACCCTGCTCAGTATCTTTACTAGTTAGCCACCATTAGGAAGGGCACTGCTCTGCAAGCATGCCCTCCATGTTCAAAGCCAGAATCCACCTGCTTGTTTTCTGGCTGGAAACTGAGCCGATAGCAGAGAAGGACTTTCGCTCTTAGTCTGTCCTAATTTGTGGGCTTTCATGATTCCTGGAGCTCATGCTTGTGATGAGTAACTAAATGATTGTTCTCTTCCTTCTTCTTCTTCTGCCCCACTGTCCGCCCCTCACCACCAAACAGGTCACTCGTGAGAGGAACAAAGGTGGCCGGTATGGACATCAGGAAGGAAGTGACCAATGGAGTTACTCAGGGGCCCAAACCAGACAGCCTGGAGGCTGCTGCCGAGAGTAAGACCGGCCCCAGCACCCAGCGAGGCAGCTCCCCGACCTGGGCCACAGGGAGCCAGCCTCAACCCCCCAGGGAATCTGAGCTGGAGCCAGTGGGGGACTCCCCCAGAAAGGGCCAGAGGACCCCCATCCTGCAGAAGACCTCCAGCACCATCACCCTGCAGGCGGCAAAAGTCCAGCTAGAGCCCAGAGTACCAGTCCTGGGAACCCCCTGTCCTTCCAGAGAAGAGAGGGAGGGGCCAACTGCAGCCCCTCCAGACACCCTCCCCACCAGGAGGTCAGGCCTGGGAAGCCAAGACACTGCGGGCAAGGTCGCTACGAGGAAGGTCTCCATGGAGAGCCAGAGAGACACCATGTTTCCCAAATTTGAGAGCAGGCCCCAGAGCCAGGAGGTCAGTGAAGATCAGCCAGTCGAGTTCAGATGCGAGGGTGAGTAGAGCGGCCTGAGGTCTCTGGTGTGCATATGGTAGCCCCCGGGTTGAGGGGGCCACTCCCTTCCTTCACCTCAGTGGTCAGAGCCTCCTGTATCCACCATTGCTTGGGACTGGAGTCTCCCACCCCAGGGAAGCACTTTACATGGATCTCCCCTCAGGAGATGCTCCCTGCAGTGGCCCATTGTTCATGGTTGAAGAGAGCACCTACCCTGAGCCCTGATTTCAGCCCCCACCACGAAAAACCCGTCACCACCATTGCCACCAGCAACAAACCCCAGGGTCCGTTTCTCTGTCCTCCCTTCTGCAGGCTCTGGCTGGTCTAGAGGCCTGGTGTGCCCCTTTGCATCCCTCCTCCGGAAGGGCCCCGGCCTTTGCCTTGGGGAGGAGGGGGAGGGTGGGTTCCAGCCGGAGTGGGTTCCAGAGAGTGGGTTCCAGCCGGAGGGCAGTAGCATACTAGCTGAGCCCCGCCCTCAGGCTCAGTCCCTTCATCGCCCACCCCAGCCCACAAGAGCTCTTGGGGGCCTCACATCCTTCACCTGGCCCTGTAGTTTCAGGGATCCCAAAACCTGATGTGACCTGGTTCCTGGACGGTGTCCCCGTGAGGAGTCAAGAGGGCACCATCGAGGTTTATGAAGCTGGGGGGGCCCATTACCTCTGCCTGCGGAGAGCCCGGGCCCGGGACAGCGGGAACTATAGCTGCACAGCCGCCAACGTCCGAGGCCAGGTGTCCTGTCGCTGGACCCTCCTGGTGAAAAGTGAGTACGTCCCTCAAGGTCACCCTGGCTTCTCTGAGGGAGGACCTTCGTGGGGTGCTTCATACATGGCACCTGTGTCATCTCCTACAGTCCCCTGCCTAGGGGGTGCCACCTGAGAGAAACGTCATTCCTGCCTACCGGCCAAGGTCAAAGTCATTGCCCCAAGGGAGTGATTCCTGATGGGAATTCACAGCAGGATCACCTCAGAATAGACAGGCCCAGCCCACCTTTTTCTAGTTCCTCAGGTGCCTGTCTGAGGGCTCACTTTGAACCAGACAGACATACTTAGAGTGACGTGAGGTGAAGTGGGTGCCCTCTCTCTTCTGCTCATTGTAGTATCTGTTTATAAAAATAGTGTATGTGCAGTGTGAGGAATTTAAACAATATGTAATCATATGGCTTGGAAATAAATGTTTTTTTAATTTTTTAAAATAAATTTAAAATAAATTAATTTCCAGAGTTCTGAGAAAGCTGATGTTGAGCACTTTGCCAGGGTTCTTGCTCCTTGTCTGGAGGAGAACTTAACAGAAGTCCTAAGTCCTCCATCCCAGAAGTCTGGCTTGCCTGCCTTTCTCCTTAGCTGTTTTGAAGTCTCCAGAAGGCCTCACCAAGATGCAGGTCATCTAACACCTCTTTCTCTTTCTTCCTATCACTGCAGAAAAGCTGCCTGCTTCCCTTACCAAGACTTCTTCCATCCTTCCCAGACCTACAAGAAATCAGGTCTAATAATGATTGACCTTCCTACCATTTCTTCGGTCTCTCCCCCTCTCCTTATCTAGAGACCCCTTTCTCCTCCCTACAGGCATGATCTGGTCTCACCTCATCTAAAAAGGAAAAGAAAATCTTCCCTCTGCCTCACTGCCCCTTAAGTTCCCAAGTTTTCTCTCTGCTCCTTTTACTCCAAAACTTGCTGCTAGTCCAGTCTCTGTGCCCAGCTTCCATCTGATGATAAGAGCTAACACCGCCCTGAAAGCCTGTTCAATGAGTTTTATGCTGAAGACTTTACTTGCATGACTTCATTTGGTAATCTCAACAGTCTTAAGAGATAATCACAGTTACACCCATTTTCCAAATGAGAATACTGAGCTTTAGGGAGGTTAAGGGACTTGCTCAAGGTCCCAAGCCTTGTAAAAAAAAAAAAAAAGCATATTCCTAACCCATGTTGGCCTGACACAAAAGCCCATGTTGTTTGCAGTGCCTCCTAAGGGGATTTCTCTAATGAGGGAAGTCGATGCCTCCTGGGAGCAAAGGGGAGGAGGTGGTGTCTCCCCTCACTTGCCTAGGTAAGCTGGCATCCCTTCACTCTGTACCTGCCCATTCAGATACACCACATTCTGATTGTAGCTGTGTTGCCACTGCCTGCTGTCCTATTAGGGTACCCCTGGGCTAGAGGAGGGGGTGTGGATGTAGAGTCAGAGAATTGGGTGTAAAGCTTTGCTTTACCACTGGGCTTGACTGTGGGAAATTATTAACTTCATCTGTAAAACAAGTTAAAGATAGCAGTCTTGTGGCTTTGTCACTATCACCTCTGGAAAAGTACCTAGTAAACCCTCGAATATTAGTTTTTGCCCTAAAACCTTTGTACTCTCAATATAGTAGAGTTTTCCCCTCATCACTGTATTGAGTAGCTTCTCTGAAGAGTACCAGTGGGCTATCATCTCATCACAAAATCCAGTTGCCTTAAATCAGCCACCTTGACTCTTCTGCAGCATGTTCTGGTTGTTGTGGAAAAGATTTTCTATCCCCATTGCTCTTAATTATGGCCCCCAAGCAAAATGTTCCCCAACTCACCTATGTAGAAATCTTCTATAGAGTTCAGCTCAGTGGTTCTCAATGAAAATGGTGGGGGGGGGGGGAG